AGGATGGCCCTAACCCTAAAGTTAATCGATAACATTATTAAGAAATATGAGTGCCTCCGCTTTAGACGTCCCCCAAAAAAGGAAATTCAACGTAAAAATAACCAAAATAAACTAAGTTCATGAAAAGCTATGATTATTAAACCGGACATTTTTGGGGACACGTGACTCTAAATTCTGGTCAAAACAAAAATTTAGAGTCATGTGGTCCAAAAAAATGTCCGGTTTAATAATCATATCTTTTTTAGAATTATCTGTAAAATTTCATTTTCGTCACTTTTAATTAGTGCGTTTTTCTTCGCTTTGCTCACGTGTCGTGCTGATCCACATTTTACGTTCTTCGATTGGCTAATTTCCCTTTTTGGATTTGTATCACTCGCAACGACTTAGGATTTTAAGTTGATAATTATCTTAACTGTTAAGTCGATCGGCTCAAGTTGATAATTGAATAGGATTTTAAACTTCAGTGTTTATCGTTATGATACAGTAATGTAAAATATACTGTATATATTTACATGTGATCAGCTAAGAGTCGATTCGAGTCAAAGTGGTTTACTATTATGTGGGATCTTGTATATGACAGTTTACAGTAACAAAATTTGCCCGGAATCTTACTAATGCCGGTCTAGTTCTAATGAATTTCGATCCTAAATTTTAGAGATCGCCTTGTGAAAAGTTTTAATTGGTGAATACATAATATCTGAATATTCAATTTGGCGAAATTTTGTATCCGAATATATCGTACATCGAATTAAGACAGGAAGTAGACTCAATTTTTAAATATCAACTTAGTCGTGCCAATAAAAGTCAATCGACTCAATCGGTTTTATTAGCTAGGCCAAATCGACTACAATCACTAGAGTGTAAATAACTCAAAATAACACACAAAGTGGGATTGCGCGAAAAGACTTATTTCCATTTTATAATAAAAAAAATATTCAGAAGCAATTGATATTTACGTAACAGCAAGAAATATATATTATCAAAGATCTCAGTTCAATTTTGCACCAAATACATCAAGAAACTATTATAATCTAGTTATTTTATTTGTTAGTAAAATATAAATTGTAATCTAATCTAACAACCAAACATAAAAATTGAACTGTTTCAGTTGCGGAATAAAAATTTAGACATTCAATTAACAACTTAATATGATAAAGAAAATAATCTTCAAATTTTTCAAATAATTGCAAGGTACGATCTTGTGAGTCTATTTGTATGGGGTCTGACACAGATTCTACTTGTGATTCGAGTATGGTGAGAGATTTCATAAATTTTTCGGTGTTGTTTGAAAAAAGGACACACGCAGAAGCCAACTTTGAATATGTCTGTTCAACAAAATATTTATTTATTTATTTAATAACGATGTAATAGGAAACACGAAAGTTAAATTACTTACTCTCAATAGTTTTGCATTCGTTAGCATGCATTCCTTAAGACACGTGTCGAGAAAATCAGAATGATATTGTAATACTTGATCAACAGTAGATACCTAATTTACAATGATTGAAAAAAATAAAGTTTAGTACTAAAGATCACGATAATAGTTATAAGTTTGTGATGAAACCCGAGTAAAATACCTTTGCTAGATTAGCCTCCAAATTTCTCCATTGGGGTTCTAGAACTTCATTGGTAATATAATATGCAAATTGTTGTACGAAAACTAACATCCTTTGACGAAGAGCAAAAACACGACTTTTCCAAGCTTCAATGGTAGGATGACCTGACCCTTTCCTCCAATAAAATGACTTTGAATGTTCAATCCAGGTGTTGCATAATAATTGTTCAACATATTTAAGGTGAAGCAAATGTCTAAATAATAGTTGATATTTGGTAAGAGCCTTACGAGAAATTACGAGAGACAGTGGAAAAGTTACTGTATAATCCAAAGTAAGTGCATCAATTCCTATAATAAAAATCAAATAACCTAATTTAATAATATGAACATAATAATAGTCTAATAATGTAATCACAGAATCGTACCCATTAACGGTTGCTTGCTACCTCCTACATTCCATACTACACCTACTGCATAACCAAATCTTTCACCACTTATAGAGCCATCCTCAGAACCTTCATATTCACTTTCATCTCCTATCCTACCAATTTCTTTTCGAATCCCCAAACTTTCACTAAAACTATTGGTTCGACTTACTGGCGCTGTTTCTACGTTTATTATACGTAGTAATTGATCTACTAAACGGACAGTGCTCATCTCCACTTTGACATCTTCTTTAAATGGATCAGTGTATGCGACAGAGGAAGGATTACGAAGAACTAAGTCTAATAGAGACTGAAGTTTGGTAAGAGAGACTTGACTGGATGGTTTTTTTAATTCCGCTGATGCAAGATCGAGAAAATGTGTAAAAAAATCGGATTGATCAAGGAAAAAATATCGTTTTATCGATCTGGTAGATATCTAAATTAGATAAAATATATACGACAACTACACAAAATAAATGTATCAGATTTTATACCGTAAGCGAGCTATAAGTTGTTGATCTTTTAATAACAAATCCAATAATGTCCTATTTGCGCACTTATATGCATTCTCAATACTATCTACAAATCTTATTGCAGTATTTGCAAGAGCCCGCAAGCAAAGTTAGCAAAACATGAATCCAGTTACAAATAAAAAATAATAATATTACTAATATCATATGCATAGCACTAACCTTCCGCCATCCATAGCCGCCAAAATATCATTACTGACATTAACATCCGTCT